CTAGACTACTATAGACTATAGCTAGACTATAGACTAGACTATAACTAGACTAGACTAACTAGACTAGACTATAGACGAGACTATAGACTAGAACTATAGACTAGACTACTAGACTAGATACTAATAGACTAGACTGATAGACTAGAACTATAGACTAGACTATAGACTAGACCTAGAGACTAGAAGATAGACTAGCTACTAGACTAGACTATAGACCTAGACTATAGACTAGACTATAGACTAGACTATAGACCTAGACTATAGACTAAGACGATAGACTAAGAACTATAGACTAGACTATAGACTAGACTAGAGCTAGACTAAGACTAGACTATAGACTAGACTAAATAGACTAGACTATAGACTAGACTATAGAACTTAGACTAATAGAACTAGACTATAGACTAGACTATAGACAGAATATAGACTAGACTATAGACTTAAAGACTAGGAGACTAGACTATACTAGACTATAGACTAGACTATAGACTAGACTATAGACTAGACTATAGACTAGACTATAGACTAGACTATAGACTAGACTATAGACTAGACTATAGACTAGACTATAGACTAGACTATAGACTAGACTATAGACTAGACTATAGACTAGACTATAGACTAGACTATAGACTAGACTATAGACTAGACTATAGACTAGACTATAGACTAGACTATAGACTAGACTATAGACTAGACTATAGACTAGACTATAGACTAGACTATAGACTAGACTATAGACTAGACTATAGACTAGACTATAGACTAGACTATAGACTAGACTATAGACTAGACTAGACTATAGACTAGACTATAGACTAGACTATAGACTAGACTATAGACTAGACTATAGACTAGACTATAGACTAGACTATAGACTAGACTATAGACTAGACTATAGACTAGACTATAGACTAGACTATAGACTAGACTATAGACTAGACTATAGACTAGACTATAGACTAGACTATAGACTAGACTATAGACTAGACTATAGACTAGACTATAGACTAGACTATAGACTAGACTATAGACTAGACTATAGACTAGACTATAGACTAGACTATAGACTAGACTATAGACTAGACTATAGACTAGACTATAGACTAGACTATAGACTAGACTATAGACTAGACTATAGACTAGACTATAGACTAGACTATAGACTAGACTATAGACTAGACTATAGACTAGACTATAGACTAGACTATAGACTAGACTATAGACTAGACTATAGACTAGACTATAGACTAGACTATAGACTAGACTATAGACTAGACTATAGACTAGACTATAGACTAGACTATAGACTAGACTATAGACTAGACTATAGACTAGACTATAGACTAGACTATAGACTAGACTATAGACTAGACTATAGACTAGACTATAGACTAGACTATAGACTAGACTATAGACTAGACTATAGACTAGACTATAGACTAGACTATAGACTAGACTATAGACTAGACTATAGACTAGACTATAGACTAGACTATAGACTAGACTATAGACTAGACTATAGACTAGACTATAGACTAGACTATAGACTATACTATAGACTATACTATAGACTAGACTATAGACTAGACTATAGACTAGACTATAGACTAGACTATAGACTAGACTATATACTAGACTATAGACTAGACTATAGACTAGACTATAGAATAGACTATAGAATAGACTATAGACTAGACTATAGACTAGACTATAGACTAGACTATAGACTAGACTATAGACTAGACTATAGACTAGACTATAGACTAGACTATAGACTAGACTATAGACTAGACTATAGACTAGACTATAGACTAGACTATAGACTAGACTATAGACTAGACTATAGACTAGACTATAGACTAAACTATAGACTAAACTATAGACTAGACTATAGTCTAGTCTAGACTATAGACTAGACTATAGACTAGACTATAGACTAGACTATAGACTAGACTATAGACTAGACTATAGACTAGTTCAAACACAGAAGATCACATAAGTATGACTCGTGTTATAATATCCTTGAGTAATCCTTTCCTTATTGCCTTTAGTTCCTGAACTTCTTTTCTCTTAATATTTTATCATTGCTCTCTTTCTTTTTAACAATATATTCAGGCCCCCTTTTTCCCTAAATGTTGCCCTTTAGCAGCAGCATTAATATTAAAAGTAAAGTTTGTTTATACCTTTATTTCTCCCAGTTTTTTCGTAAATGTTGTTGTTATTGCTGCATAAATGTATTTTTTTTATATCTAAAGCTTAAATGTAGCCACGACCACATTCCTTATTTTATTCAGTTGAAATGAACAATTTTTTATTAATGGTTGTGATTTTATTTATTTTTTTTTTCATTCCAAGCAGTCAGCCAGGCCGCTTGCCAACACAGATCTTTGGTTGTTCTCGTTTTCAGGTTTATTTCTGTTCGTTTTTTTTTTTTCTTAAAGTACAACAACAAGGTGGTGGTACCACACTTGCTGTATTCCACCGATCAAGTATAGATCCATTGCACCAACTGCAACAACAATATTAAGAGATCTCATGGTGGTGTACTTTATTTTTAACAATAAATAACGCAATATTGTTAAAGAGGTGACCAGGTTATCTGCTGCACAGATTGATTAAACTTAATTTTTATATTTTATTTGTAACTGAAAATCATCCATGTACTTTTAAAAATTTTTAAATTAAGGGTTTTCTCTTTTTTATTGCTACTTTTTCCATTATGTTTTTTTTTTTTTTTTACGAAAACCATAATTTGAAAAAGATGTTTTATCTGCCAATTTAATTTAGATTTTAGGTTGTTTTAATATAAAACATGTGTTCTTTCACTTTTTTCCAAACAGAGTAATTATTTTGTTTGAAAACCATGTGTACTTTTAATTTTTTTATTTAATTTTTGAAGCGATCAGAAGATTTGGGTAAAATCTCGTAAAATTATTTCAACACTTTTAAATTTTACATTTTTTATGTTCTTTAATCTAGAAAGGAAATATTTTTCCTTATTTTATGTGTAAGTGTAAATAAAAATGGAAAATAGAAATTAGGTAAATATTTAATTTAGTTTAGAAAATTAGTGGACAGTAATTTAAAGGCATGTATTCTTTATAAAGTATTTAAAATAGATCAATCTAATCTACAGTCCTTAGACTGACTGATCTAGTCTAAGGACTGTAGATTAGATTGATCTATTGTAAATACTTTATAAACTAGATCTGTCTAGACTTTAGACCAGATATGTCTAGACTTTAGACTAGATCAGTCTAGTCTGTAGCCAAGATCAGTCTAGTCTGTAGACTAGATCAGTCTAGTCTGTAGACTAGATCAGTCTAGTCTGTAGACTAGATCAGTCTAGTCTGTAGACTAGATCAGTCTAGTCCTTAGACTAGATCAGTCTAGACTTTAGACTAAATCAGACTTGTCTTTAGAGACTAGATCAGTCTAGTCTTTACACTAGATCGGTCAAGACTTAAGACTAAATCACTCTAGACTATAGACTAGATCATTCCAGTATTTAGACTGGATCAGTCTAGTCGTTAGACTACATCAGTCTAGACTTCAGACTAGATCATTCCAGTATTTAGACTGGATAAGTCTAGTCGTTAGACTACATCAGTCTAGACTTCAGACTAGATCAGTCTAGTCTTTAGACTAGATCAATCTAGACTTTAGACTAGATTAGTCCAGTATTTAGATTCTATCAGTCTAGTCTTTGGACTAGATCAGTCTAGACTTTAGATTAGATCAGTCTCGTCTTTAGACTAGATCAGCCTAGTCTTTAGACTATATTAGTCCAGTATTAAGACTGGATCAGTCTAGTCTTTAGACTAGACCAGTCTAGTATTTAGACTAAATCAGTCTAGTCTTTAGATTAAATCAGTCTAGTCTTTAGACTAGATCAGTCTAGTATTTAGACTAGATCAGCCTAGTATTTAGACTCGATCAGTCTAGTATTTAGACAAGAGTCCAGTCTTTAAAATAGATAAGTCTTTAGACTAGATCAATCTAGACTTTATACTAGATCTGTCTAGATTTTAGACTAGATTAGTCCAGTATTTAGATTCTATCAGTCTAGTCTTTGGACTAGATCAGTCTAGACTTTAGACTAGATTAGTCCAGTATTAAGACTCTATCAGTCTAGTCTTTGGACTAGATCAGTCTAGACTTTTGATTAGATCAGTCTAGTCTTTAGAATAGATCAGTCTCGTCTTTAGACTAGATCAGCCTAGTCTTTAGACTATATTAGTCCAGTATTTAGACTCGATCAGTCTAGTCTTTAGACCAGACCAGTCTAGACTTCAGACTAGATCAGCCTAGTCTTTAGACTATATTAGTCCAGTATTTAGACTGGATCAGTCTAGTCTTTAGACTAGACCAGTATAGACTTTAGACTAGATCAGTCCAGTCTTTAGACTAGATCAGTCTAGTATTTAGAAGAGGTCAGTCTAGACTTTAGACTAAATCAATATTGTCTTTAAAATAGATCAGTCTAGCCTTTATACTATCTATCCAGGAATTTACTCTTTTAAATTTCTTCCCCTTTAGGTACTTAACACAATTTGTTTATTTATGTTACTGCTTTTTTTTGTTGAACAAACCGAACAAAAAAAGCTCTAGTCTTCTTCTATATCTCAGTTTTCCCCCAAAATCCATTTACTGTTTATACCAAATTTAGTGTAAATATATCGTCAAAGAAAATTTCGCAAGTGGTTTGTTGCTTGCGTAGACTAAACGATCTTTATTTAATCTTTAAATAAACAAATTTCAAGAGATAATAAATTTTTTTTACTACAAAATGTTTTTGCTACGCAATGAATGATAAATATATATATTTTTTTAATTAAACTGCAAACAGATGTTACTTTGCTATATTGTAAACTGTTTCCTAAAGTTTGACGGGGCGAAGTTGTTGTTTGTAAAGTAAATATTTAAAAATATTTTGATTTTTTTTTTTTTTTGAGAAAATGACTAATATTGATTTTTTTCTCTTTGTTTATTTTTAGGTAAGATGCTGGGAATAATGTAAATATACTCGTAAATATATCAGCAGAGTTTATTAAGTTAATTAAGTGATCGTGTTGATCATATATTAATGGAAGTGATAAGTTTCAACATATGGTTTTAGAAAGAAATTGTTATAACATGTAAGTAAGAGAAAATTTCTGTGATTTAGATAGCAATGTAGTCTACAGTGATCTAGTCCAAAGGCAGGGATTTAGTGTATATACTAGCTTGATCCAATCTATAGATTAGACTGACCTAGTCTAAAAAGTAGAATGATCTACTCTAATGACTAGAATGATGTTATCTAAAGACTAGAATGATATAGTCTAAAGACTAGACTGATCTAGTCAAAAGACTAGACCGATCTTGTCTAAAGACTAGACTGATCTTGTCTAAATACTAGACAGATTTAGTCTAAAGACTATACTGATCAAGGCTAAAGACTAGACTGATCTAGTCTAAAGATTAGACCGATCATGCCCAAATACTAGACAGATCTTGTTTAAGATTAGACTAATCTGGTCTAAAGACTAGGCTGATCTAGTCAAAGGGCTAGAATGATCTACTCTATAGACTAGACTGATCCAGTCTAAAGATTATACTGATCTAGTTCAATGACTAGACTGATTTAGTCTAGAGACTTGATTGATCTAGTCTAAAGATTAGATTGATCTAGTATAAAGACTAGATTGATCTAGTATAAAGACTAGAATGATCTACTCTATAGACTAAACTGATCTAGTCTAAAGCCTAAACTGATCTAGTCCAATGACTAGAATGATCTAGTCTAAAGATAGGACTGCTCTAATGACTAGAATGATCTAGTCTAAAGATAGGACTGCTCTAATCTAAAGAATAGAATCTAAAGACTAGATAGTTCTAATCTAAAGACTACAGTAATCTAGTTTAAAGTCTAGAATGTTCAAATCTTAAGTCTATTTGCTTAGTTTATTTCATACATCAAACAGTGATCTAGGCTAAAGAAACATCTGGACTTTACTGTGATGTAGACTAGACAGCGATCTGTACTAGTAAAATGACAAGACTGATCTTGTCTAAATTATAGACAATAGTCTTAGTCTAGAGATTAGACAGTGATCCAGTATATAGGCCAGATAGTGATCTAGTCTGTAGACTAGATAGTGATCAAGTCTGTAGACTAGATAGTGATCAAGTCTATAGACCAGATAGTGATCAAGTCTATAGACCTGATAGTGATCAAGTCTATAGGCTAGTTAGTAGTGATCAAGTCTATAGACTAGATAGTGATCAAGTCTATAGAATACGTAGTGATCAAGTCTAAAGGTTAGATAGTGACCCTGTCTATATAATAGATAGTGATCAAGTCTATAGACTAGATAGTGATAGATAGTGATAATTTCTATAGATTAGATAGTGATCTTGTTTATATACTAGATAGTGATCATGTCTGTAGACTAGAGTTTGATCAAGTCTATAAACAGGAGAGCGATCCTGTCTATAGCCTAGACACTAATTCAGTCCGTAGACAGTGATCTAGTTAAAAAAATTAATACTTTTAAACACATCATATTTTCGAAAACAAAACGTTCTACTTCCATTTTTAAAAATAAAAACACTACAATTTCTTTGTCTTCAATTTCATACTGTCACTGTCACTACTATTTCTCGCCTTATGTTTAAAATACCACCAAGTGTAAATCATAAAATACTCATATCACACGTTAAGCTCTTAGATTTGACCCACTTGACGAACATTATTCAAAACCAAAAATAGTACAACACTATGATGCTCTCTGATCATCGCTTCATATTTCATAAATGGAAAAGTTTTTACTCGTATTTCTTTGACCACTTTTAATTACTTCATAAACGTACAAATATGTGAATCTTAATTACGAAAAAAAAACTATGTTTCCTCTCATTTTTATTTAGTTTTTGAAATATAGTCAACGATTTCCATAAGTATTTCTTGAATCCAAGATTAAATGGTGTAATTAAATGGAAATTCCTATACTCACAGCAAAATAAAATAAACAAAAGCAATTTATACCAAAAAAAAACTTTTTAAAGTGCGAAAGTTTTGTGGAAAAAATTAAAAAATATATAAAAATCACTTAAGAAAAATGCCACTAATCGGGTTTTTTTTATTTGTGTGTGTGTTTTTGTTGTTGTTGCTGCAATTGAAATTGGCAAAGATGAATAGTGTCTTAATCTGGAGATTATGGCGTGGTTGGAGTGGAGTAGTTGTATGGTGTGGTTTAGTTTTTGGCTTGTTCGTTTCTGTTAGCCGTAAATGTATATGTTGTACAACTCCTTCCTTCTCTTAATAACCCAACATATTTGCTTTGATTTTCAACTTTAAATAATATTTTTTTTTTTTTTAATTTTTTTTTATATGAATGAGTTTACTGACCTAATTTTCAAAAATCCATAATAAAAACAACAACAATAACTAAAAGCCAAATATTTTCACACACAAACAAAAATCAGTTTTAACATGGAAACACTTGTATTTAAAATCAAGCTTTTAAAGGCCTTTAGGGGACAGACGACACCAAAATTGATGGAAAATTGAAAAAAGTAGAAACAAAAAAAACTTCCTCGCCTCAACTCACTCTCTCTCCAGCAAAAAAAAAAAACACAAGAAAAACATCATAAAAACACAAATTTTTTTAATGGGAGTAATGCGGCAGTTAAAAAATAAACGCACCTGCACGCATGTTATTTGTTGCATGTGATACATAAATTACACCATTTGGTTACACAGGCCACACCTCCCTAAAGTCTGTCTGTCTGTCCGCCTGTATATCTCTCCGCACGTCTGTCTGTCTGTCCGTCCGTCCGCCTGACTTGGCCTATTACTTGTTCATAAATTTATGAGGTTTTTGTCATATAAAAGCATAATTTTTGTGTGTTGTTGCTTGTTTTAGCACAAAATCCCCATAAGAAATTTATGTTTAAGATCATGGATATTAACTTGCATCTTTAAAATTATAGCCTTTACTTGTATTTGGTAACAAGTTTTGTTACGTTTCATGTTTTTTCGTTTTTCATTTAATCGATTTATGCCTATTTTGCGTATTCTAACTATAATTCTTTAATATTTGTTACACTTTTACCAAATTGATATTTTTTTTTCTTAATTATTGGATCAATTTTCTTGGGAAATTAATTGCTCATACGTTTTAAGTGAAATCGTGAGTTTGTGTTAATCCATTTCCGTACGCAATTGGCGAAATTGAAAAATGTTGCAACAAATTTTATTTAATATGTTATTCTAGGACTTCTGTGTAGGCTGTTTGCTAAGCCTTATAGAACTTATTATTATTATTACAAATCAACTGGAAAGAGAAGTAGTTGGAGAGCAGCTCCATGACTGGCTAATCTGTTAGCTGTTAATGTCTGAAGACTTTAACTCGGGACATAAAGTAGCTAAATATTAAAGAATGACATGATCTCGATCAAATATCTCTGTACGCCTCTGCAATCACCTGATAGTTCTTGAAAAGCTTCACAGATCCGAGAATGAATTCGATTACAATTCTACTGGAAAGCGAAGTAGTTAGAGAGCAGCTCCATGACTGGCTCAACTGTTAACTGCTAATGTCTCAAGACTTTAACTCGGGACATAAAGTAGCTAAATATTAAAGAATAACATGATCTTGATCAAATATCTCTGTACGCCTCTGCAAACACCTGATAGTTCTTGAAAAGCTTCACAGATCCGAGAATGAATTCGATTACAATTCTACTGAAAAGCGAAGTAGTTGGAGAGCAGCTCCATGAGTGGCTAATCTGTTAACTGCTAATGTCTGAAGACGTTAACTCGGGACATAAAGTAGCTAAATATTAAAGAATAACATTATCTTGATCAAATATCTCTGCAATCACCTGATAGTTCTCGAAAAGCTTCATAGATCCGAGAATGAATTCGATTACAATTCTACTGGAAAGCGAAGTAGTTAAAGAGCAGCTCCATGACTGGCTCATCTGTTAGCTGCTAATGTCTGAAGACGTTAACTCGGGACATAAAGTAGCTAAATATTAAAGAATAACATGATCTTGATCAAATATCTCTGTATGCCTCTGCTATCACCTGATAGTTCTTGAAAAGCTTCACAGATCCGAGAATGTATTCGATCGGTTAAAAACTCTATATTTCGGAAACCAACAAACTTGAATAGAGATAGTTGTTGCATCAGTTATGCCTATTGAAATAGTGAAACTGTCCATCCAGGTCCATTTCTTTACAAGGAATGTACAAAGCTAACTAGCTGAATCTCAATCTCGGAATTTAACTATCACATCTGGTATTCGTTATATCGTGTCCTGAAGTTTAAAAACGATATTTTTGGACCTTTTTGATACATAACAACAGCGCCAAGAAAACTTTTTTTATAAACTGTTGTATGTCATCTGAAAGTCCACTATGTTGTAAATTATAGGCTTGATATCTGACATATCTTCCTTCTTCTTCGAGATTCTTCACCTAACATACAACATTTTATAAATAAAGTTGTCTTGGCGCTGACCAAAAATGGCGTTTTTCAAATTTCAATACACGATATATCAGATTCGTATTCAACGCTGCTCAATCCATTAGAAATCCTCCGGGTTTCGACTTTTTTCAAATTTTGTCAGCCTATGTTATCTTAGGAATAAGAACTGCAATTGAAACTTGTAAGCCGGAAAATACGGTGGGGAAAGTATCCTATAAACTTCCTTCTTCTAATGAAATAACGATTTCAAAGACCACCTACTAATGTTGACGGTTGTATAAACATCGAGTTAGGAATACCAACTGCAATCGAGCCTTTAAGCAGCGAAATTCGGTGGAGAATACATGGCTTCAATGCTGGCAATGTTCCTTGGGCAGGTCTCCAAAATGCACTTTCTTCTATCCCAATTACTGTGGACTGATATCAACAGATCCTCGCGTAATATGCATAGATACGTAAACAATGGAATGACGTTATCAAAAATCAATTCAAACTGGGTTTTGAAGGAGTTTAGAGGTTAAATTCCACAGATATTAAAGGATTTTGGAAATGGCGAAAGGTTTTCAGCTTTAAATCGTGTGGACTACCTCTTTATTTCATGAGAGCAGTTTTATTCCTGGAAATATGAACAGTTTAACTCCAAAATACACTTCGTTCTCTCTCAATTACTGTGGCTTAATATAGACAGATATTTGGGCAATATATGCAGTTATAAAGTCATTGAAATCGTGATTTCATAGACCACTTGGAACTTGGTTTTAAAGGAATTCCATCGTTTATTTTTGCATTACAATAATGTTGATGGACTACCTCAGTAATATATGATTGCGGGGTGGAGTTTAATTCGTGGAAATCTGCGGCTTCAAAATGTACTTCCCTCTCTCTCGGTTATCAAGAGTAATCGACTCCCAATGTGCACAACCATCGCACTCAATTAGTGTGGAATGATGTCGATAGATTCGTGTACAATATTCGCAG